CAGCGGAAGAATTATAATAGTTCTTACAGCCAGTTGCACTGCTCAAGCCATTGAGCTGAGGGTAACATTAAGTTGAGCATTGACTTATCTTAAACACTATGTCAAATGACACTTTCAAATCAAATTTCCACTCGATATCTCAACTTAATGACCGACCCAGCAACATCTTACGCAAGTTATAAAGCAGAGAGAATAGATCCTGCAGCGCAAGTAGCAATAGCGTGTTTGACATATAATTTTATCATCAACTTTAGACCACAGTCCATAACAACATCCGCAATACTGGATTCAACAACAACAGATAACAAACTTTTAAATCTTCGCCGTATCTTCATTAAGCCATGGGTGGCTTTATCCACATATTTCATGGTATATCAAAGCTATCGACGTTTGTGCTAATTTAATAGGATAATGGCCGGATAGTTACTTGAATGGTGCGATGCTACGAACACCTTTGAAGCGCTCGAGATCTGAAATAATGTATTAAATTATTATTTAATATTACGTAAAAAGTCAGTGTCGGCTTATAAAATATATGAAAATATTAGTTTGTACAAAATTCGGGTTTAAAGCATTTATTCTACAGTATGAAAAACAAAGTGTTATTTAGTAAATCTGTGTAATTGCTTAAAAATGTGGATTTATACGTCAGTCCCGTGACGCAAAACGGTCACAGATTAGTCGAATTGACGTATTGACGACGACGTAGGTACAATAGGCGCAGCCAAAGATGAGATTTGACGGATCACGTGGTTAGACCTGCGCAATAGATAGTTCTCAGACCATTTTGGCGGTAAGCGAGGCAAGCGGGGAGGGACGTGTGACGCTCCCCGCACCTTGCTCTCACGCCGCTATGGTCCGAAGTACTGATCAGTGCAAAAGTTGATAGTTGTTTTCCTTTGTTTCGTTTCTTTTTTGTTATAGTTATTCGTTATTGTATTATTTGTTACAGTTATTTGTTTTCTTATTTTGTTGTCGTTTTGGTTGACTATGCCGCGAGGCAAAACTTTAAAAAGACAAAGTAGGAAGATGGTGTATGACGTTTACAAGTTTATGGCGAAAGAAGCGGAGGAAGGCGTCGGCAATTTGAAAGCGGTACAAAAACGTACCGCTGCTGCCACTCAGACATCACTTATCACGGTGAAGAGAATTGTGAAGGAAGCAAATAGCTCCAGATTGCTGTCCGTGTTTCGTACTCCGGGAAAAAAACGTCCGAGATCAAACCCCGTAACCGGCATGGATGATTTTGATAAAGGGGTGATCAAACGCTGTATTCACAATTTTCATGTAACAAATAAAGAACTCCCTACAATTAAAAAGATAAAAAATAAATTGCGTGATGACATCGGATATCAGGGATCCGCAACCAGTTTGCGCAAAATTATAAAAGATCTTGGGTTTCGGTGGAGGAAGACCGAAAATAATAGAAAAATTCTTATTGAAAAGACCGATATACGCCTCAAAAGAATTAAATATATAAAGGAACTCGGAAAATACCGTCAAGAAGGCTGCCCTATAATATACACAGACGAGTCATATGTGCATTCTACGCACACAACATCAAAAGGTTGGTCTGATCTGTCATCGGAAGGACTAAAAAAACAATTTCCAAAGGTCAGCGGGTTGTCATCGTGCACGCAGGTTCTGAAGATGGTTTTGTTCCAAATGCCTTATTAATGTTCAAATCAGGAACAAAATCAGGGGACTACCACGACGACATGAGTTTCATTAATTATAAAAAATGGCTTGAGACACAATTGATTCCAAATCTCCCACCAAATGCCGTCGTGGTAGTTGATAATGCGTCCTACCATAACAAGGAGGATGAGAATGCGCCAACTTCGAATACGAAAAAAGCCGAGATGCAATCTTGGCTTGCAGAAAAAGGTATCGCGTTTACTTCCGACATGTTGAAGTCAGAGCTTTACGACATAATAAAAAAACACAAAGAGAGCCACAAAATCTACAGCATCGACAAAATACTGCAAGAACATAACCACCGCGTTCTTAGATTGCCCCCATATCATCCCGATTTAAACCCTATCGAAATGGCATGGGCAGCAATAAAAGGTCATGTCAGTAGTAAGAACGTGAAGTGGAACATTACAAGAGTTATGGAGTGGGTGAAGGAGAAGGTAGACCAAATGGGTCCAAATGAATGGAAAGCTTTATGTGAAAAAACGAAAAAAATAGAAAATGAATACATTGAAAATGATCACATTATTGACGATTTAACAGATCAGGAAATAATAATAGCAGTTGGCGCTTCTTCTGATGATAGTGACAGTGACACGGAGAATAGTGAAAATAGCTCCGACGCAGATGAAATAGTCGCACCACAGCCAAGCACAAGTGGGACAGCTCGTGATAGTGGTTGCCATCGCACCGACGAGTACATAAGCGGTGTAAGTTTTATAAACTATGAAGACAGCGATAGCGATTTCGATATGCAATAAAATATTTTATTAATCCGAACTAATTGTTTTATTTAACTATTTTGAACGCGACTGTACATGCGCGAAATCCTCTCTACTAGCATCTGACAGGTCTCATCTTTGGCTGCGCGCATTGTAGTATGCCTGTAAATAATATCTTCGCCTGTTTAATCCTAACACTGTCTTGGAGTTTACGACGACAACAAACTTAGTATTCGAAAGAAGACATACTTTACTTTAGCCATAGGAAAATGCGTAGCTTTTTTGACTCGTCCAGAGATAATTATTTTACACAAATTTCCTATTCCTATCAAGTTAAAATAATTATTTATTCACCGGCCAAACAGGCCTGAGCTGTTACGCTGAAGCGTTGTTTTCGCTGGGAGCTGAACCGTAAGGCGAAGAGACTCAAAACAGAAATTACAAACTTTTTTTACAGAATAGGCAAAAGAGACAGCGTGACTCTCAAAAACAACAGTCATCGCAGCCCATGGAGACCCTTTTTATTTCGTTGCCGGCTTTTTGATAAAATGTCCTCTACATATTCTGCAATAAATATCAGAAGAAAACGTGCATTGCGCATCAAAGCAGAAAATATTGACCTAAATAAAACGAATAACAACCAAGTGGAACTTCAATCAGTTGAGCGAGATATAAAATTGTCTCTGTTGACTTCGGAATATATGAAATAAATTTTCTTTATTCTGTTGTTTTTAAGAGAAATCTCATAGCTTCACATTATTGTATAAGTCGAATTGATTTAATACGTATTGCGATCCAAATCTTTACATTTATTAACCTGATGGTGTCGATATGTTCCAGGATCCTTTTAACCAGGAGCATTTTTCAGGTACTAGCGGGCTAATTGGTTGAATTGTATAGTGTTACCGCCGCATTTTATTTGCTTTATTACAACATATTAAATTCTCAAACATGACCAGGCCGATCTAAACATCTATATATATATATATATGTTATGTTGGTTTGTGCACGCTTCAATTTTTTTTCCACAAGTATTGCAAAATTAAACTTATATGAAATGTATTCTTTGTTTTGTTCTCATTTCTCAACCATTCAATCATAATGTGCCACAGCAAAGCGTGGCAGGGTACAGCTAGTATACTATATATAGATTACTGCCCAAGAGATTATGTTAATCTATTTAACCTTATGTACTTTTCTCATATGTTCTAAATCCTCTTAAGTGGACAATTCCACGCTTTAAATTGATAAGTGGATAATGGGCTAAAAACGTACAGAATGATAATCCGAAAGATCTGTGTCAGTAATATAAAACAGTATGTTAAACAGTATGTTATGAGCTAGGGGATCGGATAGAAAACGCCGTAGATCTCCAAGGGTTATTTTTTAAATAAATCAACAATGAATTCGTTTACACTAAAAAGCCGCAAATCACGCGAAGAAATACACTGCCACACACAAAATACGGTCACTAGTTACTTCAGTTATGTGCACTTCACACAGTACTTTCACTTGAGTTCACTATTCGCACTTTATCTCTCGAAATCGCACTCGAAACTGAATCGATGGGTCGCGTTTCGGCTCGCTTATGTATCCCTGGGAAAAATCTTGAACGATATTCGAGAACTTTCCAGGCAGGAGTGGTACCGAGTAGCTGGTCTATCCTTATCGCACAATTCTAGAACGTGGGTGGGTACTCTTTATCTTTTTCGCACATAGCTCCGTTTTTGTTGTACGGTGTTCCGAACTTTCCTCTCTTTCGCTTATTATTCCGTCCTTGTAAATACGTCTATGTCTTGTAAGTATGTCATAAAAGGGGTATAATTTTTTTTAGGGTGAACACCCATTATCACTTACGGGTTCGAAAGATAGATAGTAGCCGATTCTCAGACTTATTGAATATGCATAAGAAATTTCATAAGAATCGGTCGAGCCGTTTCAGAGGAATATAGCTAGCTGACCCGGCAAACGTTTGTTTTGCCATGTATATTATTTCTAGGAATCATTTTTTTAGTTCACAATAATAAAAAATAGGGGTTGATCGTAGAGGGGTTAAAATTAGATGTTGTATGTATTTTTGTATGCTGTATCATAAAAAAAATAAAACAAACCATTTTATCTAAAAAATAAAAAAATTTAGGTGGACCACCCTTAACATTTAGGGGTTTAAAAGATAAATAGTAGTTGATTCTCAGATTTATTGAATATGCATAAAAAATTTCATAAGAATCGGTAGAGCCGTTTCAGAAGAGTATGGGAACGAACATTGTGACACGAGAATTTTATATATTAGATAATAACTAATACTGTCGTGTGGAGAATACATACTGTGGTTTTGAAGTCATAAAGTAGTTCGACACAGTCGTAAATACAGGTCTGTCACTAAGGACACGCTATTTCCTTTACATTCACATAGGTCAAACGTATATCTATTATAATGATAAACAACCAGAATAGCTAGCGTGTCCCTATTTATTTATTAAGTCGAAAAATGAGTTTAGTTTGGGCATGTTAAATTCTGTTTGTGAATGTCGAATAATTATGAAAAAAATAACCTGATGAATGGTGGTTTTCGAATGATGATCACATGGATTCTGGATCCCAATGCACATTGGGTATCGTCCATGCCAATCCAGGTCTATTAAAATTTAAAAAAAACTGTTAAGTAAATTAAAAAATAATAAATAACAATATGAAAAATATATTTCTATTGAACTGAATGACAACTTCGGCGTGTCATAAGAAATTTATGTCCATCGATCGTAAAATCGTCTTGCAAATTTTTATTAAATTATTAACGACTCCGCGTTCCACTTATTTCTTAAAGGTCACCACAATCACACGATACGTCAGAAAAATCTAGAATTCACATTATAGTTTACGCCCCTTTCTAGTAATTTCATATCGTCGCTCTAGAATGGTAACCTCGTATGTCCAGAGAAGCAAATATCACAGGAAATGAAAATGTTTCATTTCGTCAATGTTCGTTAATCGTCCATAGTTTTATATGGTAAAAAGGACTTATTAATAACATAAATAAGTCCTTACTTCATGATTATACCAGTTAAATGACATAAGACTCTAAGAATAAAGCATAAATGGTTTTTTGACCTACGAGGTTATCATTCTACAGTGACGATATACCAAACTCCATCAACAAAATTTATACCCGAATCGGCATTGTCTGTGACAATTCCAGCTAGATTCTCACCTGTGCGAGGTCCGGTGCGGTGATCCTGGCGGTGATGAAGCTGGTGATAAAGCTGGTGTCGCTGGTGCAGAGGCAGCTCTACGTCTGGAATACTCCGTGCCACCAACTGCCATGGCAGTGCCTCCTCCCACGGGATCCGTGATACGTGTGATACTGAGTCCAGACGCTGAGCGAGTGGGTCGTGAAGGTGCTGTGACGTTGAATTGTGAGTTCAAACAACGTAGTTCCCACGAGAAGCCAAAAATTACATAACGTGCGTGTTGAAACAATAAGTTTCTGAAGGCTGATTTAAAGTAAATATCTTTAAAACCTAAGCTCTAAGCTCACAAGATAAGCATAAAAATAAAAATAAATATGTTTATTATGGAATATAAGATCACTTATTCCACGTCATTAAATTTGAATAGGTAGTCATCCCTACTCATCGGCAAAGAAGACAGAGGGTGTAGGCCGAGAGAAAAAGCCGGCGTAAAAAAACTCTCGGTACTCTTTTAAAATAGCAAATCATCAAACAACATATATTTTAAAACAAATATCGCAAATTAATTAGAAGTAGCCTGTCTAGCACCAGTACCAGGCCCTTTTATCAACTAGATAATCGTTTACTTTATAGTAAGCCTTTTTACACCGCTTTTCTTTAATACATTTATTAAAAGGCAGAGATAAAAGAGCCTTTGGGATTTTATTAAAGAAAAAGTATCCCTTTTGCCAAAAAAGAATTACTAACTTTAGATAGTCTATTACAACACTTACTGCCTGTGTAACTATAAAGACCGGCCGGCGAAGACCGGGGACGATATCCTGAGGCAGTAGAAACCGTGGATAGTGTTGAAGGAGAACGCTTTAGGCCTGGTGATTCCCCAGAAGAAGTGGACGGACGACGCGGCCTCGGCTGCCTCTTGGATCCTGTTCTACATACACCTATACACCAAATAAAAATCACTTACGAATAGTAATAATATGACACGTTTTCATAAATTTAAACACTCAATTTGATATCTACATTTTGATGAAATATCCACGTAACTTTTTCGATATGAGTTACATATTCATTAATTTTATCTCTTCCCTGTGTTTATAGTCCTTATTTGTGCACAGAAACATACATATTTTTAAGTCAAATGTAGAAGTCAAAGTAAGAAGTAGACATGGAACTGTTTAGGAAAAGCACCCTTTGCATGGCCATTACGGTTTACAATAATTTACCAAAAGAATTAAAAGATCTTCCGACTAGTCTTTAAAAATCGACTTGGTGTATTACTTTATTTATATTATACAATAAATGATTATTAGCGTGAGCCTGTAATTTAATAACATATGATATGTACGATACAAATAATATTAGAACTGACCAATTCATATGACTTATAATGTAAAATGTTAAATTCCTCTAAAGACAAATTTGCGCGCCATTGTGTGTGGTAGAATATGGGAACTTTCGATTGTACCACCTTACACATTTTTGTACCATATTCTTGCAATCAAATTATTATTATTATTATAAAATGTACAGCACATAGCATAAGCGCTTTAGGCTTATAGGATTATTTAGAAAAAGGGTTTACGCCTGCGATATATGCCTCATGATGTGTACGAAGATCACCGAATATATACCCCAAACCACAAATAAACCGAGGCTACATGCACACATTTTTATATGTATTAGCTATATTAAAATGTATAACGCCCAAATCCGCTTAAAGACGTTTCTGCTTTTGTAACAGTACATTTCGTGATCATAAGCTTAGAAGTACGAGTAGCAATAGAAATAAACCCGACAAACGCAAAAACGTTTCCAATCTGATTCGACTATTGTAAGCGAAAACTCAAGCTGTCAGAACGAGAAAATCTACGAAACAATTCATCCCCTTTCATTGTCCTTTGATATTCAAATTGTAAGTTCGGTACAAAGGCTTTCATCGAGATAAAAAAGGAACCATTTAATTAACGCAACCCGAGTGACTTTTTGAACTCTTTGACGAGCAAATTACTGACAATCAATTATAGATTTGTGTGTTTACTTCTTTTTATCATTCATTGTATTCTTTTATCTTGTTTTTTTTTGTGTTGTGTAAGTGTTGATAGTCTGTGCAAACAAATTTATTATTATTATTATGTACATAAACACAAAAGCAGCTTAATAAGCTGATGCGCGCGTATTTGTGGATTTGGAGAAATTACCCAACCTATTTTTAAAAGAGTTCAAAGAGGGTGCAATAATTACATTTTCCGGAAGCCTATTCCAGTCAGACACTACTCGGATTGGAAGAAAGTTCTTTAGGGAATTTGTATTATATTGAGTGGTCTGCAGTTTTAAAGAATGTTTAATGATTCTGTGTATTTTTTAAATAACTTATAACAAGAAATAAAGATTCAGATAACCAGAACTGTGAAATAGAATGACTCTATTGACAATAGTTTTACAATACAAATAATAAATAAAAAATTCTATCGACGATAAAGCTCTTTTATAATGTAATTATTTAATCACAAATTAATCTCTCACAGTAAATATCATATGTCAATTATAATTAATTTTACGACATCGTCAAATTTTTGTAACTCCGAGCTTAACAAATAATTATTTGAAAATACGAAACAGGTTTTTAATATAATTATCTTTCACCGAATCGTTTAAGCAACCTTGCATTGTTAATTATTTACTATTATTGTTTGTTTTTGCTTTGTTATATTCCTACCTAATTGCTATTTATATATTTACATTGTATATTTGCATATGCTTGGCGGACTCATGCGACGATACAAAAGTCTACTCGGGAGTTGTGTGTTATTGCGGGCTGCTCGATTGCGAGGAAGTTGTTGGATGTTGTCATTTTCACACGTGTAAACCCTTTTTCTAATATATTTTCAAAGTATTTGATTGTCCTCATTTTAACATATTGTGTGATGTTTCAAACCCAAACTCAAAATAACTTTATTCATATAGGTAAACAACTACACCTATGAACGTCCGAAAAGAAGCTAAATTAATTCTAAATTTACATTTACTACAGATACCGGCAAACTTGTTGAGCATTAAACAGGGGAGTTGAGAAAAGTTTGCGCATCTGGGACACAAACGTCAACTGATTTACCAATCACGCGATCGACACGTCACTCCCGCCGCCCGAGTGATACCTAAAAATTGCTTCTGCACAGGCAAGGACATTTGTTCAAGATGTTTGCCGGTATCTGTACTAGTCAAGTCGTAGAGCGGGCAATAAGAACTGCCAATGTACTTTCCGCCACTCTTAGCATAAATAAAATAAACATTTAGTCGTACCGACGTAACTGTTTCGTAAAATTTGCTTAATACTTTATTCATAAAATAAAGTAGATTACACTATAAACATATAAAATTCGGAGAGGCAAAATTTATAAAAGATTTACAATTACTGATTATTTCTTATCAATAGTAATTTTTAAATGAATAAAAACAGATCTTACCGACCTGTTGGGCACAGTCTGCCCATAGCGCACTTGCCCTCACAAATCGTCCTCTGATTGAGCATTGTCTGATAGGAGTCAAGCATCACACGACATTCTGCGAGATCTCGATCAGCAAGTGCTAAGGACGGGTAACGTTCTTTTAATCTTCGTCTTTCCTGAAAATACCAAAAGTTAAGCTACAAGAAGCAAAACAGTATAAATCTAATCAAAATTTTTGAAGTTATACTTCTTTAGGCGCGTTATGAAAAATTGATGAGAGTGAAATTTTACGATGCGCGCGCACCGTGACACAAAATTAACAGAATGAGGTTGCCCACGGAAGATGCTACGGCATTGGACATAATTTAAAAATAACATTCGAATAATAATAGAATTTATGTTACACTTAATGTAAGAGAATAATATAAATATTTATTTATTTAATTTTCAAATGTAAACTGAACTTCATTGTCTATAATGACTCCTTCTCCAGTCTTTGATTATTTAATTGTAATTAATTATTTGCATGCAATCAAAAACTATTATTAATAATGCCAAAGAAGTTTAACTTCTTACGCGCGTACATAAGTACACGCACCCTTTTTTTTAAATTGAAACCGCAAGTAAGATAGTTGGGGTCCAACATTGCCTAATAATGAATTGCTTGCAATGAGGTTTAAGTTAGAAATTGTTCCTTAATATTGACCACGAAACGCTTACAAAATTTTAGGTTTCAAATCAAATTCAAATCAGTTACATTATGAGTTATCATTAATTAATCTGCACATGCAATCATAATGCAACCAAGAATTAATTAGTTTAATTAATGAATTCACCCGATTGTGTTTGAGGGGAAATCTATTGAATGCATTGATCATTAAATTGGAACTAATTGATACATTGTACTTCTAATAAAATCATTGGCAGAGGTAAGCGCAGATATTTGAAGTCCGCAAACGCCTCAACGAGATATGGGGCGACCTCATTTATGTGTCTGTTTAATTGCTAATTTATGGCATAGGGAATTAGCAGATTACTTGGAGCAAACGAACTTTGTTACTTGAGTTATAGTTGCTATACCTACTTGATTGTACACAATATTATACACAAATAACTTACTTCAACTAGTTTATAAGTTTCAAAGTCTTGCAGCTGCCTCTGGAAGCCCAGGTTAGGATTAGCAACGGCGCGACCAGCTCTGACCACCTTCAGCGCCTCCCGCCACGTCAGTGGTGTCACCGACATTATATACGCAACTGCCACTGTCACACTACGCGACATACCAGCTAAACTAAAAATGTCAGGAAATATTAGGATTATCAGGAAACATTATGATCGAGTCAATTGACAGTTGATTTTTATTATTGCTTGTCAATCATTGAGCTTTCTTCTATTACATTTAATAATCATAATTTAATTTGAATTATTAAAAATCAGTCACATCACAACCTTTTAGGTCTGGGCCCCAGATTTCTATATCTGTTTCAGTTTGTTCTGTTCAGATTTTCATGATCAGTTGTTAATCTAATAGGTTAGGAGATCAGTCGAAGTCGAAAGTCATTTATTCAAATAGGTAACACAATGTACACTTATGAACTTCAAAAAAAAAATTACATTATTGTTTTCTATTTTTTTTTAATTAATTTAATTTTTGTCAAAAATAGTTTAATATAATTTAATTTTTGCCAAAAAGAAATATACAATAAATGCTTCTAATTTTACATTTACTACCAGTTCTCAAATGAAGGGCGTGGAACGGACGAGAAGAACTGGCAATAAACTCTCCGCCACTCTTTTTAATCCTCAAGTTTTTTGTTTTACACAATGTTTGTAAGGAGCTCCAATCATGTTCCACATGTACATCTTAAGTAATTAATAATAATAAAATAAATTTAAAACAAAGATTTGTCCTCTATCAGCAGGAGGCATGGTGAAATAGGAGTATTATCAGCCTCCTGTACCTGACGCACGCCATCTACATCAGGTTTAGGACAAGCCGGTTGCCTCACGATGTTTTCCTTCACCGTTCGAGCGAATGTCAAATGCGCACATAGAAAAAAAGTCCATTAGTTCGGGATCGAACCTCCGACCTCAGGGATGAGAGTCGCACGCTGAACCCAGAAGGACTTAATCTAAATTAAATATGGTACTGTAATTATTCGTGTCTTTCGTTGTCTTCTTTACCCACATGACGCAAACATAACCCGCTAATGACGATATCAATATCGATGGAGTGATGATACTGCTCTGAAATGTATATTTGTTTAGGTGGCTACACCAGCCATCTTACAGGTTGCAGAAAATAAATACTTCATTTATGGGCCTAAGTATACGCTGCTATAACATGATTCCTACCTGGAAGATAAAAACGCTTGGCAATAGTTCTAATTATATTCTTATAATTTGTTTTGTTATCTTTGAAGTGTTGTGAATATGTGTGTAATGGTGAATGTGGTAAATCACAGAAAGGATTTTTTTTTACTTATGTAACTTTAATGACGTTGTGGTTTATGACATTTTCCTTTTAATAATTGTAATGTAGAGGGAGGGTAAAACTTGCTGAGTTTCTTGCTCGTTCTTCTCAGAACAAGGCCTCCTGGTAGTTTTGCGAACGGATGGCGTAGTCTTGCTCTTTCGCGAATTTTGTAAACGTTTTTGACATTCATAAGCATGCCCGTATTTCGATTTGATTTTGAACTTCTACTAAAAGTCTCTTAAAACACCGCGAGAAGGTAGAGTTTGTGCGGAAAGAGAACCGGCGTGGCAGTTATGTGGAATAATATAATTGTTATTTTCTACGCGTTATTTCATTTATTCACTAAAAAATGTTCTCTTTAAGTTTTGATATTGAGTATACGTTTACGTTACGTCATAATAGTTTGATAGTTCCACTACTCAATATCAACGTTTAATTGTCAACATAACAAAAAAGGAAATTTACTACACTGCTGCGACGTTACTATTAATAACTTGTCAAAGACAATTCTATTTGTTAACAATGTCAATTTTCAGGTCTGTCTATTCGTTATTGACCTTATAACCAACTCTTTCCTCGAACTTTAAAACTATTCAATAAAATTCATATTGCGCAGTTGCACGTACAGAAATTATTCCTGTTATGGCGGAATGCCAGAATAAATTATGTAATATAACTTGCAGATGTGTCGTTATCACGCAAAGTTTTTTTAGTTTTATGTTAGCTACGGGGTTCGAATAAATGTTTATGCAACGAACGCAGTGATGCCAACTCCTACAAAGTTCTCCTCGTAGTACCAACTTTAAATACCCCTAAATATCGGTTCAAAACCCCGTATTTTGTTTTAAAAATTGTACACTCAGTTTGTGAGGTACTCAAATATTAATTAAAAATACATTCAAGTATGCAATACTATTGTAATGTATTATACAAATTTACATATAATAATGACCTACTAATATGTATTACTTAATATATTTTTAACCTTCCTTTACATAGGATTGTTTTTCTTTTTCCTCATTATCTTCTCACGTATTATTTTTAAAGCTTTCTGTACTTTTCTAACCGTTGAGCAATTTTTTCGATCTTGGGGTATTAGTTGCCAGGCTTTTAGTTTATATTTGGTTTAGTTTGTTCGTTTGGGTTCGAGGATTAATACAAATTGTATAGAAACCATCGTTTAAGAAAAAGTTTTTGAAAAAAATTCTCCCTGTACAACTTCATTCCCCCTCAAATTTGGCGAAAAACCCCTAATTTGCCATCACTGAACGAAGGCGAAAATATTGTATAATGAATGTGTAGATTCAATAAACATTGCCTTCGACATGACATTCGTCGATAAAAGCTGTTACATATTTGTACTGCTAATTACTAATAAGAACTAATTAAAAGCAGATCAGCGTTATGATCACGCGCACAGTCAGCAGCTACGTGACTAGCAAAACTTTGTCCTATAATCCAAATATCATAGACTATATTTTAGATTTTTAAATAGAATCTTTCGTGTGAAGTTAAAGTGTAATAGAACCAAAAATGAGAATTTTACCGAAACCTGTGACATTAACTAACCCTATTCAGACAAGTTTGTGATTATAAATAGCGTTTAACCGGTAAATTGCCAACTTGAGTTCAATTTCTTTTTAAGTACATGTCTGAGCTTTTACCAACGATTTAAATATTCTTAATTAAAGGTTCACTGTCCGAGATTAATTTAAAATTAACATGAAATAGTTGTTTTAAAAAGTAATTAATAACTTTGACTAATTGTATTCGAGACCAGACTGGTAAATAAAAGTGAAATAAATTTGGATATTGAGCGGAGTCCAAACGTGGAGCGATTCGAATCGTCAACGACTAGACATTTTCCGAGCGGCTTCATCCCTTGGCGTTGCGTAGAGATGTAGGGTCTCTCAGAATCTTCTACCATATTTGCCATAGAGGGTGTTCAGAGGAGTTGTTAGAATTAATACCTACAGTTGACTTTCACCATCGGACGTCGAGGCAGAATACGAAATTATCACCGTATCTTCTCGACGTCCGTCGTTCCAGAACTGAGTGTTTTTAAGGCAGTTTTTGCCGCGCACCACCGCTATGTGGACTGCCCACTGAATTTCCGAGCCAATTCAACTTAGGGATCTTCAAGAGCGTACCAATTCTTAATAGCTGCAACGCAATCGCGGGACCAGAGCATTGAGTGTTTATGTGTGGCGGTATCAATTAATATCAGGTGAGCCTCCTGCCCGTTTATATAAAAAAATACTTACCAATGTATGAGGACATTGCCATCTCGAAGCCTCGCCGCATGTATGAAATCGTTACACAAACTAAAGTACTGTGTTAAATTCTGATCTGGCGAATCAGATGCCATTATACATAAATAGTGCTTATCCTGAAACAAAACAAGATTTATCATTATTCATAGCAAACCCAAATTATGTTATTTGAAGTCCCGTTCCCTCTTATAGAGCAAAAACATATCTGATTGTATACTAATTCTTTATAAACAAGTCAAATATAAACACTTTTAAAAAAACGGGCAAGGATTTCAGTTATTTTAATGAAATTTAATTGTCTGACGTAGTCTGTATTACTTATAATCGTGTTAATTATGTTATTAATTTATACCCGTGAAGTGAATTCTGGAATTTTTAAAATTAATTTTCGATGACTTCTTTAAAACCGATGTATATGACCCAACCATAAGTGATCGGCAATAAAGACAAGAAGATTTTTTAACTTTTCTTTTTTCATTATAATAAATATAGACAATGATAATAAAGCGTCAAATTATTTATTTGTAACTTTAAATAATATGGGTGGAAAAGTACGCCATTTACACGAGTTAAAGCTCGGAAAAATGTAAAGGTATGTATTAATACTTACAATTACCGTTATAGAACTATTAGTTAGGTAAAAAACACAAAGGGATAGGTAAAATAAGGGTTTTATATTTACATTTTTAAATTATCGCAAACAAAGTCATGTTTAAGAGTTAGGTTAGTATTAAATGTATTAAATATATTAAATGTTTATTTTATGTTTCCACAGAGCGGCTTAAACAGAATGGTAAATGGCGGTGATTTCGTCAAGAGTACAAATGACGGGCCACAATTTGCTTAAAATGCTTTTTCTTTACTTTGCATGCAATTTTTAAAAACATTGTTTATTAACATGGTTTAAAATAAATTAGAAACAATACGGGACTTACACTTGGCCTACTATCTACTCCATGTCTTGTGGGGGGTGGTGAGCAACCCAAGTGTTCTCTAAGAACTCGGTTTCTTTGTACCTAGGGGATATGTGTGACGGCAAAGGCCAATGTTGTTTGCGATAGGGAATCAGTCTGTTGCACAGATCACCGTCAACAAAGACGTTGCCTGACTGCTGTCTCCGACACTATCGACATCTTTACAATAATGTTGGCAAAGTGAATTCACAGTAGCTTTAGTATCTTATGTTTTTAATATTACATATTTTATAATATTTAATTTTTCGCCATTATCATATTGGTTTAGTACAGTAAGGATAGTGTACATATGTATTTTTGTGAATAAATTTTGTATTAAAAAGTACGTATATATGTGTTTTATACATATTAATTTAAATAATGAAAGATTCGTAGTTTAACTTAGGTATATACAGTGTATTTAGCTGCCCAATATATTCCCAAAGCAGGCGCTTGATTGGAACCCGCAAGGAAAGCGGAAGCGTGGCCGTTCCAAACCTGGTGCCGTACAGTTGCAGACGAGGCTATGAGAGCCGGAAAGACTTGGAGCGAGGTGAAATACGAGACTCAGGACCGAACGCGATGGAGACTCACCGTGGACGTCCTCTGCCCCATCTAGGGGTCATAGGACAATAAGTCAAGTTATGTGGAGAAGGCGATGCTCTCAACTCTCGTTTTGTTCCGAGAATTAGTAATCAGATTAAAATTAAATAACTTAAGTGTCTACTGGCGCAAGAGTAAGAAAAAGAAAAAGGTAAAAACTTTATTATACACAATATAAAGGATATTTAGATAAAGTAAAGTGCACCGGCCCACGCTAGGATTTCCTGTGTTGTGGTCAGCCAGTCTCTTCCTTTTGCCATGTAAACAGTATTTTATAAATTATATTAATGATTTCTACACATTTATATTTAAACTATTTTTGCACAATAGGAATATTTTTAGTTTCAGCATATGACAATTGACAGGTTAACAAGATATTGTTTGAGTTGTTTTTTGTGCACAATGACAATACTCCAGTCCGTAACGTCAACACTTCGAGAGTGACCAAGCGAATGGCATCCCAGTCGCCAATCGTAGTTGGTGAGCAAGGAATCACCCGTGAGGATATTCATAACATCGTTCAGGACGTTTTTAAAGATACCTTGAAGGACATATTTTGTAAAATTAACGAAAGCATAACAAACGTCCTCCAGAAAGAAATGGATCCCTTCACGAAACAATTATTTGCCATGAGCGAGTCAGCTAAACTAATTTTAGAACAACAAGTTGAACTCAGAAACGAGTGCGAGATCCTTAAGTCTAAAGTAACTGTACTGGAAAGGGAAAGAGAAGATCTTCAAGGCTGCATCAAAGATCTTAAGCTGCGTTGCGATAATACAGAACAATATCTGCGTCATAGTAATATTGAAATACAATGCATTCCTGAAAACAAAAATGAAAACCTGTTAGAGACGGTCTCTATGCTTAGTAAGGCAGTGGGCTGTGAGTTGCATGACAAAGATATTTTAAGCTTCACACGCACCGCAAAGGCTAGCCGTACCAGTACTCGCCCGCGATCTATAGTGGTTCAATTATCGTCCCCGCGTATTCGTGACAACCTACTGGCTTCAGTGTCGAGATACAACAGGAACAACTTAAGTAAACTTTAGCACAACAGTTCTCGGCTTGCCTGGCAAACCATAACCGATTTACATCAGTGAGCACCTATCGCCAGCTAACAAAGCCTTACATGCGGCTGCTAGATTGAAGGCGAAAACCTTGGGATATAAGTATGTGTGGGTGCGCAATGGCCGCATATATTTAAGAAGGTCCGATGATTCGAGTTACATCTTGGTGCGCAATATGGACACTATTAATTGTTTAGAGTAGGTTGCCTTAACGCCCACAGCAACAATAACAAATAAGATCTGTATGTTTGGTTTAAGTTTGTATTACCAAAATGTTAGAGGTTTAAGAACAAAAACGCATTCCTTTTACTCTCAAGTGGTTTGTAACAATTATGATATTATAGTTTTAACTGAATCATGGTTAAATGACTCGGTCTGTAGCTCAGAGCTGTTTGATGAACGGTATGTGGTTTACAGGCGGGATCGGTCTGAGACCTTAAACTCTCACAAAAAAAGATGGAGGTGGCACCATTATTGCCATCTCAAAGAAAATTAAAACTAAAACAATGATTAGTTGGGAATCCGATATCGAAGAAATTTGGGTTCGAGTGGAACTGCCGGCGCCGCATTCCTTTCATCAAATTGATTTCTGTGTAGTTTACTTTCCTCCACCCGTCAACTATTCTATGTTAAAAAAATTTTACCACAAATTGCAATAAAATTTTCGAATACTCTGTACATCATTGTACTGTCGGTGACTTCAATTTAAGAGATATACGCTGGAGCAATTCTAGTGGTGAATTTTATGTCCCTCCCTCATGTAAACCATTTATCGATTTCATAGATACTAATAATCTAAAGCAACACAATTCTATACTTAATAATTGTAACAGAATTCTCGACCTTGTACTTACTAATATGCCATTGTGTGAGGTGAGCCATTCATGTGGTGTTTTGAGCGTTATAGATAAACTACATCCTCCCTTGGATATTGAAATCTCCCTAGCCAGCAATCCTGAATTACCTTTTAACATAGTCACGACTAAACGTAATTTCCGTAAAGCTAACTATGACAATATCTTTATTGAGTTAACAAAGTGCGATTGGGAGATGCTTTTCGCTGGAATTGACGATGTCGACTTGATGGTAAATGTTTTTTATTTGAACATACGAGATATAATCAATAAGTACGTCCCTTTAAGCAAACCTAGTAAAAATCACTATCCTCCATGGTTTGATCGAAATTTAATTCGAACTTTAAAAGAGAAGAATAAAATAAGACTACGTTATAAAAAATATAAAAACGAAAGGGACGGGTTAGAACTGACTTTACTAAGTAAAAGATGCAAGAAAATGGCCAGTGATTACTATAAGCGGTATATTTCAGATATAGAAAACAAAATAGACACAAATCCTAAATATTTTTGGTCATATGTAAAAAACAAACGCTGCGGCACTAGTTCTTACCCCTTGGCTATGTCTGATGGATGTACTTCTACCTCTGACGGTTACCAAGTCTGCGAACTTTTCTCCACACACTTTAAAACGGTTTACACTCCTAGTAACAACATTAATTTTAGCCAAAACAAGGAACAGAAATCCTTATTGTCTAAACTGGATAATAGTGCTGTTTACTTGTGTCCGCCGGTTTTGAATTATGAAACTCTTCTTAGGAAACTAATGCACTTGGACCAGTATAAGGGAGCTGGCCCTGACGATATCCCGCCCATTTTTATAAGCAAATGTGCTAAGTATTTGGTTGAACCTCTACTTACAATATACAATAAATCTCTTTCCTCAGGAGTTTTTCCTGACAAATGGAAAACGGCTAAAGTGGTACCTATCTATAAGTCGGGGGAAAAAGAGCTGGTAGCGAATTATAGACCTATTTCTATTCTTTCCTCCCTTGCTAAAATACTTGAGTCTCTCGTATGTCCATATCTTAATAAACATTTTGAACAGTTAATTGCTTTATCACAACATGGGTTTATGCGACGTAGATCAACCACAACTAACCTAGTTGAATATACTGAATTCATAAGTGATGCATTGGATCGTGGTCTCCAAGTTGACACGATTTACACAGACCTCAGCAAACCTTTCGATCGAGTTCCTCACTCTATACTTCTGAATAAGTTATTTTATTACACCTTTTCTTAAATGGATTGAATCTTACTTAAGTAATCGCAATTTTTTTGTTGTCGTTAATGGCTTTAGCTCCGTTATACAGAACATAACCTCCGGTGTACCGCAGGGCTCTCATCTAGGGCCAATACTATTTAATATATTTGTAAATGATTTAACAACTTGTTTTAGGCATTCTAAGGAGTTCATGTATGCAGACGATCTCAAGCTTTGTCGTGTTATCAGTGGTTTCGAGGATTGCTCGATGCTCCAATCTGATCTGAATGAAGTGACTTCATGGTGTGTCTCCAGTGGTATGGAACTGAATGTCCGAAAGTGTCATTTCGTTCGTTTTGCTAGAAAGAGGGATGTTATAGTTTACAACTATCATATGGGTAGCTCGTTACTTCGAGAGGAAAGAGTGGTTCGTGACTTGGGGGTACTTTTTGACAATAAGCTCACTTTCTCAGAACACCAGGACTTTATAATTCAGAAGGCTTCTAGAGTGCTTGGTTTTGTCATAAGGAATACAAAAGGGTTTCGAAGCACCAAATCGAAAATTCTAGTATACAACAGTCTCGTGCGGAGCATTCTAGAATATGGGACAGTTGTATGGAGGCCGCATTATGCGACGCATATGCTACGACTTGAGAGAGTACAAAAGAGGTACCTGTGGCATCTGCTTTTCTCCAGTGGCATCTCGAAAAAAAGTTGCCAACGTACGAAACGAGGCTGGCGCACTTTAACATGTTGTCACTGGAGAATCGCAGAAAATCAATTGATATATCGTTTGCATTTAAGATATTCAATAATCTGATTGATTGCCCGAACCTCCTATCTAAATTTAATTTTCGTGTACCCTCTCGATACCCCCGGCATCCCATTGTTCCATTTGTCCCTCCTTTCCGTAGAACGCGATTTGGTCAAAACTCACCGAAGTCCAGATTAAGCATACTTATAAACGAGCTAGGTCTGGATATACAGAGTTGCTCACCTCACAGTATAAAATGGATTTTTGTTTAGTTTTTTTTGTAATTAGAATTTTTTCTTTGCTAAGTAATTGTTTTGTTTTTTTTGTTTGGTTTTTTGTAATCAGAATTTTTTCTTTGATAAGCAATTGTTTTTGTTTTGTAATGTTTGTTTTGTTTTGTAATGTTTGTTTTGTTTAATAATCTCTTTATGATCTCTATATATGTATGCTATGTTTGCCTATAAGTGCTTGTCACATTAAAAATTATATTTTGTGTTTGTTTCTAATAATGTCTCAGTGTGCCGAGCGTTGGCAAGTATTATCAATAAAAAAAAAAAAATTAAGGCTTATAGCTAGGTCTGAGGGTGAATGATGTTCTAGCATTAGGTTACACTGTAGGTATAATTTGTATGGGCTGCGTAAGTCCGTAAAGCTCATCAAGTATTGTCCTTATAATCGATATCCACTAACGTACTGTCCAAATATGATGACGCCTTGGGCATTTTTGACACTAGTTCCAGAGACAAAATTATTATACACTTCACTTGCGCTTTCACGCGGGAACTGCGTTTTTTTTTTTTTTTTTTTTTTTTTTTTTTTAAAATGAAGATTTTAGTTGACAGCCACCATCGCAACAAATTTGTTTTGAATTGTACAATATCAAATATCAAATTCTGCCCTGTATCATATATGTCCCCTTTACGTTACTAAAACGAAACCCTTGTTGTTTAATAAAGATGAAATAACATAAAATACTGTTATGACTACATTATGAAGTAAAAGAATCTATGGTTCACGACATATACAAAGCATATATCATTTTCAATGTCACATTCAGAACTAGAAACTGAAATCTAATATTTAAGAACTCTTTGCATGACGTATTCAAATTTTCTATTCCATTTTTTCAT